GCTGTCGAAGAGTTTTCAGCAACCTTGTGAGTAGTTTCCTTTATGAAAATATACTGCAATATCTCGAATATCGTGCCAACTGAAGCACGAGGCGGCCTGTGTGCAGCATATTCAGCTGGAGGACATCATAAACGAGATTCAATTGAGTCTCCTGTGAAAACCAAATTGATTTGCAAATGAGTGCATTTCTCCAGAAGTGTATATCTCTCGAAAAATTCAGTGTGTCGGAGGAGTGAGTGCTCCTCTCTTGTTCTGAGGTAGTTACTTGTCTAGGGACTGACTGATATTAGCCCCCAGACACGAACGCCGCCAATATGAAAAATTACCTGCTTTGAATTCACCACCCGATGGAAATAATCTAGCTACCCTCCTGAAATTCCACGGTCTCTGTTGAATCCCTCCGGTGATAAGATAATACTGTCGTTCACTGTTTTCACTGTGACCGATATCAATACGCCCAGAACGTTTTATTTCTTGTTTACATCAATCGTGATCTTTTTTCCCGCCAAATACCGGAAATCTTGTGTTGAGCCAAGTAAATGGTACGCTTATTCGCCTGTGGATCGAATCCATCAACTTTTCGTGCCACGGGAAAGTCGAGTGATTGATTCTACTTACACGCTCTAGTTAACTAATTTGGTTTTTCGAGAACTCACCTGGAACCCAGCTGAATCTCTCGTTTGTGATGTTCTCAGGCAACTGAATGTGCTGCACCAGGCCGCCTTATGTTACAGTCGCTACGATATTCGAGACATCGCGGTACATTTACTACCAAGGTTGCTGAAAATCCGTCTACAGCCCACGACCGATTTCGCCCTTTTTGGGGTTCATCAGGTAGGCGCAGTCCCCGGGTTCCTGTCAACCTTACGTTCTACTTGGAACCAAATTGCACAAGATTAGCGAATATACACTCATTTGCAAACTAATTTCTTTTTTCAGCTGGGTTCCGGGTGAGTCTCTCGAAAAACCAAATTAGTTTGCAAATGAGTGTATATTCGCTGATTTCGTGCAATTTGGTTTCAAGCAGAATATAAGGTTGACGGAAACCCGGGGACTGCGCCTACCTGATGAACCCCAAAAAGGGCGAAATCGGTCGTGGGCTGTAGACGGATTTTCAGCAACCTTGGTAGCAATTCAATCTAGTTCAACTAGTAGTTCAACCATGTTAGGGACTGCTTTCATGACAGCATCGACAGCAGTTCTTCAGTCTCACTCACTAACAGAGTTAGGCCGCAATTGTTTACTCACAAGAACAAGGTATTGCAATGGGATCTTCAATATCCCCAGTTTCAACTAATATATGAGGTACTTCGAACAAACGGCATTGGTCGGATATCATTGTCCACCAGAAGTTTTTCGGCGTTATGTTGATTATGTTGTAATCAAACGAGATAACGTGAACAGCTTACACGACTGTCTCAGTAGTTTGAATCCACGCATCAAATTTAGCATGGACATAGAGTCCACCTCGGGCACATTACCCTTCCTGGACCGTATAACACATTCGAGTGGTGGAAAATCAAAGACTAACATCCACGAAACCAACAAACACAGAAACCGTCCTGAACTCATCAGCACATCCAAGTTCTGTGTACGCCAGTATTGTCTCATCGATGTTTCGTCGAGTCAGAGTGGTGTGCACAGAAGAGATCGACCGAATGATAGCTCAAATCAAGATTGCGAACAGACTCCAAGAACTGGGATACCCAGTGAGTTTGATCACGCGTCAACTAAGAAAAATCTTGGCTCCGGTATCTAGACCCAGTAAGGAATGGATTGGCACAGTAATCATTCAATATAAAATAGAAACATCGGAGGTTATTCGAAGACTGCTGAACTTAGCCAACAATAGAGTGGCTTTTCATAAAGGAAAAACGCTACGCCCACTTTTGGTGCAATTGGAAGATCCCCTCCCGGTTGAATGAACTAGGGACTGTCTATAAAATTAATTGCGACGACTGTACTAAGGTTTGCGTAGGACCAACTGCTAGGGAGTTGCACACCAGAATTGGTGAGCATAAAAGGAGGATAAACAAACCACTAAGGGAGAATACCAAACTCTGATCGGAGACTCAGCGATGGCCGTACATGCCTTAGACACGGGACATAGAATAGACCTGGAGAATGTGGAAGTTTTAAGACGGGGACTGCGATTCACAACACAGTGGCTGAAAGTCGAGGCAGTGTAAATCTTCAGGTATCACAGCGTGAACAGAATCGAGGGTTGAAACTGGTGAGTGTATGGAAAGCGGTTTTAGATAGGCCGAGTTGACACATGACTGTGTGTGGTTGTCAGTTCCCGTAGAATCATTAGGAAAAGACAGCAAAGGTGGAAATCCCAACCCGACCAAAGTTCACAGAATCCCTTTCACACCACTATCCACACAGACGGACGGAAAGTGAGAACGATGAAAAGAGTTTGGCCATCTTTTTTCAATTCTAGTGTGACACTTTGCAATGGTGACTCAATCGTCGAACCGCATGACCTCATGATTGATAGTGTGTGTCTGAAAGTCTGCCGTCAATGAGGAAATCTCTTGTCTCTGATCTACCTATTAAATTAGCAGTTGTTGGATAACGACCTTGTCAATGCCTTGGTGGTGGTTGGTTAGCTCTACGTCTCCTGGTCGGCTACTTTTGTTGACTGCTGGACAGGTCATTACCCCAAAACTGTCTGGTCGTACCTAAGCAGTGGCCCTAAAGAGAGGTTATTACCCCAAAACTGTCTGGTCGTACCTGAGCAGTGGCCTTAAAGAGGACCTCGCATGTGCCTGCTAGAACTGGTCTGTAAGATAGGTACAGTCCTCGAGTTCCCGTCATAGTTCATTGTCCACATCCGTTTGCGATGTCACGTCCAGAAGACGATTGGATTTCCGGTGTGCTGCCTGTCTAATGCGCTTTTGGTGGATGAAGATTTGGGAGAACGAATGATACTTTATCCGTTTGCGATGTCACGTCCAGAAGACGGTTGGATTTCCGGTGTGTTGCCTGTCTAATGCGCTTTTGGTGAATGAAGATTTGGGAGAACGAATGATACTTGGCCGTTTCCGAAGCCGAAGAAGGGATGTTTTGTTTGAGGTACCCCATATTGAGCCTTTGACTCAAAAGTCTGACACGATATGGCTTTTGGTTCGGGGACCCTTCAAATATCCTCTGAATCGCACTTGCGAACCGCGAGGCATTGGTTTTCATAATTTTCTGAAGAGACTCTTCGCGATACTGAATATTTTGACCCACTTGATTGCAGATTGGCCTGACCGCAGGGTACAGGAAGTAAGACATGAGACTAATCGGGTTTTGATGTGGCTATGCATCTACTGTGAAGCACCACTCGCGTTTCAAGTGTACTTCGACAGTGTTGACTGATGCGTTGGCGGTCATGGTCCACCATTGGGTGATCGGAGTTTGCGGTTTTTTAGGGACGACCTTTCCTAACCCATCCTTCTTCGGAGGAAGCCAGTATTGCTAATTCTATAAATATGGATGTACTGCCCTTACACTTATCGCAACGGGCAGTAAGATTTTGTTTCCAGGCCTTCACTTGCGGTGGTTCGTTGGTCTCGTTTCGACTGTTCTTCTTCGACCTTCCTGTCATGTTGAACTTTGAGAAATTGAATTCTAACCAATGTAGTCTGCAGGATCACCACAGCCTGGACATCAAGATATGGTTTGCCGGAACGCTTTCAGATATCTGTAGCCTGTTTTTGGGTGCGAATGCACTTGCTGTGCTTTTATTTTCCGTGCACAACTTCAAGTGACACTGAGAGAACCATCATTCTTCCGGAAATACATGGCTTACTTATCTTTGTCGTTCCATATCCCATTTGGGTTGAATTGCTTTGGTCATCCATCGTGACCTCAGTAGTTTGTTTGCTGAAACCAGACCCGAGACGTCAGCATTATTTAAAGAACACCGTCTGGATTATTGTCATAGAACCTTGTTATAATCGATTATTCTTACTTTTTTGATAGCAACTTTGAAGTCGACGAACTAAGCTTCACCTGCAACGCCAAATGTGTGCCTTGGTCGAGCATAGTTATTGATTTCAAAACCGTGTATGGTTCCGAGTCTGATCAGTTTCCAGATTGCTTCACAGTCTAAAGTACTGTCCTTATCTTGCCGAGCATTCAAGAGGTCGTTCGATACTTATGGCACCCATACTAATGGCCTTGAAAATCGGAAAATTCAGTCGCTGTGAGAAGGTTTTTGGTCTCAAAGACTACCATGTATGGCTTATACTGGTTCATTATACAATCCCGTTGTAGTGATAGTATTGTTATGATCTACTTTATTTTACGTTTCTTTCTGATGATAACATAGTCGACCTTCAGTACAACCAAAGTTTCCCTTCTTCTAAATGCAATTCTCTCTTCCCTCTTTCAGGAATTAATTTCAATAGCTGCAGGATTTGGAGCCTGCCTTCAACATCTGATTCCTGAGAATTATCATCATCATATCAACGGGCTTTCCTCTTGCCTGGCCTCTGATATGCGCTACCTGGTTAGAGATCTTTGCGGAGCTCTCATGTTGAACAGCATCCTCCCGTTTTCTACCAATCAGATCAAACGTCGTTCAAAGCCAGCAGATCGCTCTTTTAGTCCATGTTAGTCCGATTTTTCACCGGAGCTCTCAATCTTTCCTTAGACTCTTCACTTTTTGGCGTTTGAGGGATTTGCGTGCATCATCGAAGTCGTTGCGGACTCTTCACTTTTTGGCGTTTGAGGGATTCGCGTGCATCATCGAAGTCGTTGCCTGCTGGTATAGCTTTCTTGATGTCAGTCATGGATAGCGATCTCGATGACATCCAGTGGTCTTGTGGTCAAATTGGAGAGGTCGGACAGACAGCACTGATCTAGCAATCTCAATGACATCCAGTGGTGTTGTGGTCAAATCGGAGAGGTCGGACAGACAGCACTGACTGCTGCTGACATAGCTCCTTTCACGTTTTGCCACGCTTCATCCACATGCTCACTGCCAGTGCAGTATTGTTTGATGTGGAAAGTTGTTGGGCTAGCTCAGATCGATACTGTTGAGCTATGGTCGTCCTTCGAAGACAGTGGATTGGCTTCTTGCTGACTTGCGAGGGCTTGAAGGGAAATGAATTGTCAGGCGTGCATCATGACGTGATCGGACTCAAGTGGTGTGCCCCAAAAGGGACGGAACTCTTGGATTGTGGCTTTCCACCAGCGGCTGGTGGCTACGTGGTCCAACTAAGTCCACGGTTATTTTGAAATTGGTGGCTGCCAGTTTACGCGATTCGAACGCTTATGTTGAAAGTTCGTACTTGCCAGAAACAGTTCTTGGTCAGCACACAACTGAAGATGTCGATCTTTGTTGTCTGTGAAGTGAGCATCGACTCGGAATCGACCGTCCAAATGTGATTCCAAGGAGCTAAGACGGCCTCTTGAGCATTCATATCGCCTGCAAGGATCACACTCTCTGTGCTTTTTGCTTGGTGAACGAGCCCGGATAGCGCTGGATAGAAAGTACCCTTCTCCGCATCAGACTGCCGTCCGTTGGGGCATAAGGCGAAACTATAAACAGGCACCGGTTTTTATGCCGAGAGGCATTGAGTTTGATTGAGCTGGATAACCAGACGAGGAAGAGACGACTATCCACTGAGATCCAATCTAGTAAAGCGCGCTCAGCCGTGGGGGCTGAGTGTAACTCCCACGCCACATATTCCACGAGTCATCGCTTCTGCGTCACCGGACACACGGGAGGAGAAATGTGAAAGAGCTGAGTTCATTCTTGGCGTTCTAAGATGCATAACCACGCTTGAGTCTTGTATGCGTTTTTCCGAGACACAACATACATCAATTTTAAGGGAGTATAGGGTTTCAGTAAGCATTGCCTGTTCACCTGTTTGACATATAGAAAGGATCTCGTGGATTCAGAAGGGTGTTATTTGGTTCATTACTAATAGGCAGCGGGAAGCATAAGGCTCTTCGGTCAGATAACTGACTACCAAATAACCCAGTGACGTTTGCTTGTGTTATGGGAAGGGGTTGGGGTGGGATATCAGTGGACACCGAGCTGCGCGGGCAAATGATAATTCTCGGTTTCCCAGGCCGAGGAAGGGGTTTTGGTTGATATACCCCACCTTAAGCTTTTGACTCAAAAGTCTGACCCATAAGGCAGTGGGATAATGTAGGGTTTTGTTCGGAGACTCTGTCCCTATCCTCTGACTCAAAAGTCTTACCCACGAGTCGACAGTGTGGGTTTCTTTGGGGACCCTGCAAGGACCGAGGACTCAATAGTCTGATCTGCTCGGCTGCAGAGGGTTGGTCTAACCAGAGGGCGCAGAGAATAAGACATTACTGTCTCATTCCTGATGCAGCTGCGCACAGCAGTGCCTTTTGAGCAACACGAGACTCTGGTTTTGAAAGTATTTCGACCGTATTGGATGATGCGCCGGCGGTCACGGTCAACCGTTGGGTGATCAGAGTGTGCGGTTGTTAGGGCCGACCTTTTCTAACCCGTCCTTCCTCGGGGAAAGGCAGCATCACTGTTTTACCGTTCCTGTTGTACGGCGGCATCAAGTTTATTTGTGTTGCGCGTGATAAACGCTGAACACACGCTTTGTATCGGAATCCGCCAACGGAAGTACACTTGCAGTTCACACATTTAGTGCTGTGCCTAATGCATTACTCTGCCAAGTTTCGGGTACAAAAGCAGTTACACAAGCCTCATTGGTTATGAGCGGTAGTCCGCTGATGTGCACACGTTTGTCTGTTCTATACTCACTTAAACCTGGTAAACCGTGCTATATTCCTTACAGGTTAGAGTTTCTTGTGAACCCAGTACGGGTTCCGCTTACCCTCTCTCAGAGATGATGTAGAGTTGTAATTCGACGAATCTGAATGAATACTTCTTCGAATTTAGTGCATGACTAGTCTTTGAGGAGAAAATTTAACAGAAAACCACTCTGATGAACGCCGCTGGTCACCACACCAGATACTTTTCTCAGAAACTAACGGCTGGGTAAGTTGGGGTCGAGATGTCTCAAGTGGTTGGAGCGCGAATTTACTGATAGGAAAGTCCGTGGTTCGAACCCTACCTCTGCCTCTCGACCTCCTCTGTCTAGGCTTGGACAACCTAGCAGTATCCCAGCCCTCGTGCTTCCTTAGGGTGGCATGGCAGCTAGGCACCGATAGGGTGTTACAGCTAAACGGGTTTTTTAGCTTTTCATAAATATAAATAAATAATAATAAAGCTTTTCTCATCTATTTGCCCGTTCCCAATCAGCGGCCGCTGGCCTTCGTCCTCCCCCGGGTAACATTATCGCCCTCCCCTTGCTTCGTCAGCTCTACGAGGCTCGCTTTGACCTGGCACTTTGGACTCGTTCTGAGACAAACAAGCATTGGATCACACTGGACGAACAATTCTGGGCCATGCATCTGCCTTACCCGAGGAATCCGGATGACGTTTGGCCCTGTTCAGCCGGTCAGCTCTTCGGTCCGAACTCCGAACCTGGCTTCCAGTACCAGCACGTGTGGCGTCAGATTTTACTACAGGATGTATTAGGTGCCCTTCAAGAGCATGGATGGCCGGATAAAGCACAGACTCCAGAGGTAAATGTGCAACTTCAAGTAACCTCGAGAAGATCATTCTTTCGTAAATGCATGACTTACTTCCTCTTGTCGTTCCATTATCCAATTTGAGTCGAATTGCTTTAGTCATCCCTCTTAACCTTATACTTTTTTTGTGGATTTGATCACTTTGAAATCCTTTTCGCGTCATTTCAGATCATCGGATTGTTGAAACTTTTCCGTGATACAGTGATCGCCGCACCCAACTTGGCCACACCTTCCGAATTGTTCCGCGAGTTTCGTGGTCGGGATCCTGCCCATTCGTTTCTTCTGAAAATGGTTCAGTCCCGAGTCAAGCTGGACGATTCCCACGTCTATCTGGACCCCTTAGCTTCCCCCTTGGTTAGAGAATAGACGAGGGTGTCCGCCTTCCAGCTGTGCCCTTGCAGTTGTTGCAGTCAGTAGCTGTGAAGTTTTGGTGGGGGGATAACATTGCACTTTCCCCATTCTACCAATACCAACGGTGCATGTACAAACAAGGAGACACAACGTGATTTTATACATGTAAACTCCCACTTGCATGCAGTCGAATAGATTAGCGCCCTATCTTCTAACATGTAAATACATACTTCAACTTGCATGAATCTCATCTGCTTTCCGCTTCTATATATTAATTACTAAAACACAGGATTGAAAGCTCTTCCCGAATGATTAACCCACTGTGCTAACACAAGTCCACCTACCTACTTGCAAATTGTACCTCACATTTAGACAAAATGGGTGGTGATGAGGCATACCTGAAAAAGGGAAAGACTATTTGGGTACACCGTGAGTTGGACCGGTGTTTTTGATTCGGCGATTGAGCGTGAGGGAGAGTAAACTGAACCAGAACCAAAGAGCAAGTCATCTGTTGTATGGTCGTCTTGGGTGGAATACGTATAAGTTTGAGGTCACTACTCTTTATTATATATGACCTGGGCGATTGTTGTAATCGGGTTAGAAGGGACTCGATGGCGTTCCGCGATGAGCGTCGGTGGTCTGACGGGTAGGCAATTAAACTAGCTTTGTTCACAATGGAGATATGTGTTTCACCATCATTGTGACTAGCTTAGTGAGTGTGAGGCAATGGCGGAAGCACTGGTTAAAAGAACCTCAATCACTGATAGAAGCTTTCATTTTCGTAGCAACTCTCGGAGCGAAGCGAAACTGGTAACCAGTTTGAATTGAGGGCTCGGCAACGGGTGGGAAAAGCATTCGTTGGTATATGCTGAGCCACGCATTCTTACGTGTGACTGGGCGTGACTGCCATAGGCTAACATCGGGCCCCTACCCTGTCGAATCGTTTTTCCATTTCAGGGACCTGAGAATAATGAAAGAAACCTCATTTTTGTGTAGCAGTGAAGCTTTAGTGTCAACATCGATGTTGCCTAGGCTGAAGAATTTGATTGTAAACGTTTAATCAACACTCAATGTGACATCATCAGTACGTTGTTAAGAGCCGGATTGCAAGCATATCAGCGTGTCTATGATTGTCTAACATCATTTAAAATTGACAGGGCCGGTAACTTCCGCCGTCTTTAGTTGCCTTGTCAAATTTTGTTTATCTTCTCAACTCTGAGGACTGAACTATCGTCAAATTGTGCCGGATCATTTTCGTCCATAATGCTTATCCTCATGGGCTTTCCACAGATTCCAGCTGATACATTACGAACCAGTTCGTCGTCTGATCGTTCATCGCATTTTGCCGTGATCCGCTCGTTGCGCATAAGTTATCAAATAGCTCACTGTTATCTCTCCATTACATATCGATTCCCCGCATAGCCAAACAATATTACTGTTTTGTCAAGGCATACTGTTGTCTTGCTAAACGGTAGTGCAACTCTATCGTTCCCTTGGCTTCCTGCTCCGTCCAGTATGGCATATCAAAATGCACGGAAGATCTACACAGCCCTTTATGGAGAATCATTACATCTGTATTTATAGGGTAATCACAATGCTAGAATCACCGTGAGGGGGCGGGAAGCGTGGAGTCAAAGATGCTCGATCCGGATTGGCTGGCATCCTGACCAATCAGAGCATGCCCTCGTTTGGTCCGTGTCCTGCACGTGACACATCCGTCTAAATGACGTGATGTTCGGTTATTAGGGTCGGCTGGCTTCCGTACACATACCTAGCTGCCACCTGGACCATATGCGACAAAGCGCATTCATGTTGGGAGACAATTTTTGAATCTTCGCAGAGATCTAAGCACATCATGCTGACCTGGATAGGTTGGGCTGAACAATGTCCTCCATTGCTCAAACTTATCGAAAAAAGTCGACTTCAGTAGGGAATCGTTTGTGCCCTGTATGTGCCGTGAAACTACATGTGAGTGTCCGAAGATCTTATTTCAAACGGAAGCTTGACTGCCGAGTGATGTGATCACACCAGGTCCTGTTCTCTGCAGTTATCAATACTGGAAGTTTGAAGAGGGAGTAAAGGTGCTCAGACTTGACAAAGTTGCATCTCTGGCAAGATAGTGAAGCGGCACATTGTCTTCAACCATAGGTGAGACTCGAACGTGAACACCACAGCCTGTTCAGGGGTGATGTTTCGAATACGTCCGGTGTGCCTTTGGTGGAGTAAACATAATATGCTCGGTCCAGTAAGGTCGATACTCGAACGTGGTTAGAACCCGACCTCTGTCTCTCGACTTCCGCTGTCTAGGCTTGGGCAACCTGGCACGGTATTCCGGCCCTCGGGTGGCGGGGCAGCTAGGCACCGACGGGGTGTTACAGCTGAACGATTGTCATTATCGCTCGAAATCAATGCTTGTACTCTTTCGTTTGGGCCCACCATTTTGATTGCACCAAGACAGGAGGTCGACTGTTCAAACGAGAGTGATGTAAATATACAAGTCTATAAAACACTTCCAGCTAAATTAACAACTGTGGCGAACTTGGCGGTTGTGAGCTGACAGAGACACAGCTAAGGTGTCTGAAAATGTACAGACTAACCATGAGAGTTGGCAACCACAGTGAGTCCATAGTTCGAAAATCGGTCACCAGGACGAACGTGGTTACCATAAGACTACCAGTGTAATAAAAAACGAACAAGTTACTACCTATTCTCCGAGTCTCAGCATTGCAGCCTCGAGTGTCATAAGGATCAATTTTAGTGAAGATCCATGGAAAACGGTTGGCATCTTCAGTTTCCCCTCAATGAAGGTTTTCAGAACACTTTAAATCTATCTGGCCTAGCAGAGAATTGATTGTGATTGTCCATAAACCCCAACTGATATTTATTAAAGCTCTGCATCTAAACTGATATTCAATTGTTCACCCAATACAAATACAAAAGTGCTGGACAGTATTTGTACTGTGAGTTCATCCCTACTGGTAACTGACTCTGTCAGAAGAAGTTGGCTGGAGAGAGCAACAACTGCCCAAACATTGGGGTGCAAAATTACTGTGAATATCAGGATGATTCTTCAGCTTCTATAAATCAGTTGTAAAACGCACGTGGAAAGGGACATTTAGGAAATATGGGTGTTTTTTCTAAAGTATGGGGTGCAACCGAATAGAAAAATTCAACAGAACTGCCGACTATTTGTTGACCTATTTATGTGTTCATCTACTAATATATTTACAAGAATAGAATCTCACAGAAGAGTGTTCATCTGCAACCCAATGGTTCAGATAAACTGCTTCCTGTTTAAGCATTCTAAAGTCGAAAGTTGGAAATATGCGTTCCAGTGCAATATGTATATCTAGTTTTCATAAAGGAAACTACTCACAAGTTTGCTGAAAACTCTCCGACAGCCAACGACCGGTTTCGCTTATTTTGGGGCTCATCAGGTAGCTGCAGTCCCCGAGTTTCCGGCAAAATTATGTTCTACTTGAACCCAAATTTGACTGTTTTCGTGAAATACACTCATTTGCAAATCAATTTGGTTTCCACGAGAGACTCAACTGAATCTCTCATTTATGATATTCTGTAACTGAATATGCAGCACACAGGCCGCCTCATGATTCAGCTGGCACGATATTCGAGATATCTCTGGTGAAAACCAAATTGATTTGCAAATGAGTGTATTTCTGGTAAAAAGCAAGTTCTTTAAGAAGTTTGCTGTAAAAATCAATGCTAAAATACTTCCGTATAAATTTGGCTTTCATTTG